TCTTAAGGCAAACTTGTTTACCTTATGCCTATACTCAGATATGTTGCTTCCACTGACTCTTGTGTATTCGAGTTTATGTATTCGAGCCCTCGAGGCCCCTGGCTTGTAATATAAAGCTTGTATTATTTTAATTTGTGTCTAGAGTTGTGTTGTGATATCTTCCCGTGAGTCCCTGATCTTGATCATACACATATGTGTGTATGATTAGTGTACGATTAAATCGGTGGCGTCACATTGGCAGCGGTTGGTGCTGGCGGTGGCTACATAGGGCCGCAAAGCTGCAGAGAACAATGGACGTGTGGGAGGCGGCTCCTTCGTCGTGCGGTTCCACGGGCGGGTGGGCGGCGTCATGTTGCTCCCCTAGCTCCTGCGATGAGTCATGGCTAGCAGAAGCACTGACGCGTCCATGACTACGTCGTTGACAACATCACGACAGCCACAACTCTGGCGAATCAAAGCGGCGATTGAAATTGAATCAGCGGCGGCGGTCGTTGCTACGGCGGTGAGGTAGGTGGTGGGGTAGGTGGGCGGGGTCAAGGCGGTTGGAGATGGACGAGCAGGTGGCGGCAATGCCGGAGTGAACAGCCGTCGGGTGAGCGAAACAAAACTAAAGGCAGTTAGCGCACGACCGCTAGTTTTGCATCTCCTGGAGATGGATATGCAAATTTGCATCTCCAGGTGTTGTATTTTACATCTCCTGGAGGTGAAGATGTATTTATTTTGCATCTACATCATCTGTTGGAGGTGGGTCTTGGGGCTTCAGAGATGTATAAGTTAGTTATTTTTGCATCTACATCATCTACTGGAGATGCTCTTTTTTCTGAAAGATAAATTTAATGTTATTAATTAGAAATAATTGTTACATCGCCAGTAAGAAAAGATACAATATCATTCATAGGCTCCTCAAATCGATGCCTACTTACAGAAAATTTTGCTAGCCTAGAAATTTCATGAGCCACCTCATTTGCTTCTTTATTACAATGTTCAAATCTAATAAGAGGAAAATCACAAGCCAAAGAATAACAATCATCGAAAACTGAAGCCGCCACTCCCGCCGAGTGTCCTCCATTCTTTGTTGTGTCAATCACTTCCATATTATCCGAGTAAAGAACAAGACTATTGCATCCCGCCTTATGTGCAAGTAATAACCCAAACTTTAGAGCCGCAACTTCTATTGCCAATACATCTACACAACAATCAATCCTCCAGTTTCCACCGACAATGAACCTGTCTTTGTCATCTTTAAGGACCACCCAGTTGTACCCTGAAGCAGATCATGATTAAAAGAGGCATCAACATTCAGCTTCACAAAACCCCTAGGAGGGATGCTCCATCCCGTTGTTTCAGTAGTTGCCTTAGGGGAGTAGCATTAACATAGTTTGTCGTTATGGCAAGAGACCCCATCAAAGTTTGGGTTGCATCTTGAAACTTTCCTTCATGAACTAGTTTACATCTATGCCACCACAAATACCAAGTTATTATAGTGATCAATTCATGTGCTTTCTGGATGCCCATTATAGATAATTCTTGATTTTGCATAAAGAGTAAGAATTCTAGTACCGCCTCTCCCGCACGGTCAGCCACACAAGCTTTATTTATCACTTCGTACAAACCTAACTTGCCCCAAACTTCTTTCGCCTTCTCACACCAGAGCAAGACGTGTTTTGCATCTTCTGCTCGAGCATGATATGCAGATGGCCGAAACGTTCATGTGTTTATTACCAAGTGTAACTCAGCACGGGAGTGTTCCATGTAGTGTACGCCAAATGATTTTTTACCTTTGCTAGCCAAAATAACTTCCAAATCTTCCCTCAAATAGGATTGACATTGGCTCTACCCATCCCATTTGCATGTTGCAATTTTTCCCCTGTTGTTGGTTCCATTCTTCTAAACAAGTCAAACGAACAGTGAACATGCCATTTTTTGTATAGCTCCAAGCAATGAAATCTGGCATATCAAAGTTAATTACAGAAAACTACCACATTTGCGGCTAGGTTTGTGGAAAACCACCAAGTCGGTAATCCGTTGCAAAAAAACACAATGTTTTCACTAAACTCTTTGCAGAAAACACTGATCGGATGATTTGGCCTGTTTGATCACTTTCTGACAAGTGGGACCAGATTGTAAGGATCTTAACTGGCAAAAAATTAGCATACACGTCCCTAGATATTTACAAAAAACGAATCAGACCCTCGGTGTGGACAACCATGGCGCACTTGCCCTGTTGTCCGGTACGCACAGAGACACCCTCCTCGGTGTTGGAGATGGATGCGGCGGACGACGAGGAGGTGGCTGGGGTGCGCACATTTTCAAGGCATTGGCTTGCCGGTGCTATAGCGATGTCGCAACCAGGTCGCGATGTGGAGCACACGGCGGGAGCCTAAGCGGAGGAGCAACATCCTCCTCTTCCGTCGTGGTCAAGGGCAGAGGTGGAGGGGGAGGAGGCGACGAGCTGAGTCCACCTGCTCGATAAGTTGTTCCCACCGCCCTCCCCCATGAAGGAGGACGAGCTCAAACCAGAGGCCTGTTCGGCACCGTCCATGTTAGAAGCGCTCGCACCCTACCTCAACTTTTTCCAGGTGAAGGGCACTAATGCCAGCGTGGATGCGGCATTGCTGCGACACCTCATATTGGTGGATCCGGTCACAACTGAGCTCAACAACAATTGGTCCGAGCGAGCAGATGAGGCCATCATCTGATCTGGGCACGGCGGCTCAGGATGTCGACGATGATGTCATCGGGTAGGAGTAGGGCACGATGGACCAGGGCATCCGAGCCATGGAGGGAGGGCGACGGGTGGGCTTCCGGCAGCGGCGATGGGAGCCAGCGGCGCGGTCGGCTGCGAGGGCGCGCGGCGGTTGCCTCCTCTCGATCGGATCGAGAGCAGGGGTCGATTGCTTGTTATTTTTAGATCCATGGGGTGTATGTAATATCTTTGCTAAGACACCTCCTTACAATCTGGCCCCACTTGTCAGAAAGTAATCAAACGGGCCAAATCACCCGATCAATGCTTTCTGCAAAGAGTTTAGTGAAAACACCGTGTTTTTTGCAAGGGATTACTGATGCAGAGCATCCTATGGTCATCACCATGTCAAGAGTCCGTTTGGCAAGTGACACGTGCGACCTCTACTTCTCATACATAAAGGTGAATCTTCTCCTTTACACGTGCTCACTTGACCCCTTCGAGGATGGTGTACTACTTGACACTTCTCCCGTGTGCATGCATAGGTATTGTCGGAGCTTCACGGATGTCAAGGAGGAGTGCAAGCGCCAAGGAATGACTACACCATCCGCGAGGGACGCATGGAAGCGAAGACGGAAGAAGAAGGTGTTGCGGAGTCTACAGCGACCGGACGACCGGAAGCCTCCGGACGTCCGACCCTCTACAGCTCCTGGACGACCGGCGTCCACCGGACGTCCGCTACCTGACGCATCCCAGAGTCCAGCCGACGAGATCTACAGCGACCGGATGACCGACCAAGACCGGACGTCCAACACCTCCCAGGCCACGGACGACCGAGCGCCTCCGGACGACCGGTGCCACGGCGACAGAACAATATTTATGGAAGTCCGAAGACTTCCGGACGTCTGGACCGTCCCGAGCTTCCGGACGCCTGACCCCTACCGGACTTCCGACGCATGTATGCGCAGCCGCGGGCCTTTGGCCTTGTATCCCTCTCCCACTTACCCCTTCGTGGCTTAGACTATAAATAGACCACCTCCACCTCCTTTCTAGGGTTAGCAAAGTGATAGCTCATTTGTATGTGAGCTTTGCTCCTACCTATCTCTACTCTTGAGAGAGAAAGACCACTACTCCATTGGAGGCCAAGACCTCCATCTAGGAGAAGATCCTGCGGGATATCATCAAGACCCCCTCGTGGGAAGATCCGTCTAGGATATCATCAAGACCTCCTCTTGGAGATGAACCTTACCTTGTATCTTTCCCTTTGTTGTTCATGTACCTTGTGATCTTGTGTGTTTGATTGTCTAGTGGATGTGTGATTAGACTTGTTCTTGAGTGCTTTCCCTTGTGATTTCTCTCCGTTCTTCCCCGTGTTCTTCGAGGGATCCCACTCCAAACATGAAAGATCGGCCTACACCGGGTTAGCCCCGTATCAATTACCGACTTGGTGGTTTTGTGCAAACCTAGTGGCAAATGTGGTAGTTTTCTACAATTAACTCGGCATATCATGCATGGAAGTGGAATTGCGAGCACCCTTTGAGCATCAGGCTCACCAAATCTTCATCCCATGAATTCGTGATTGGGTCAACAAGATCACAAACCTTTGACAAAAGATGCCCCCTTCTAGGAGTGATAATTTTCCTATTGGAGATGCTCTTACTACTGAATAAAATTCCTATTGACACCCCCCCCCCCCCTAAAAAAAGAATGACACAATAATTTTAAGGTCA